GTAATACCCCTAATTTTAAAAGGATAGTCTCGGTATTTATTTATTTATTTTAATTACATTTTAAATTATTTAATTGATTATTTGACTAATTGCTTATGTGTTTAATTGAATTAAGTGTTACTTGATTAATTGACTATTTGTCAAGGTGTTATTTGTCGTATTTGTTTATTAGATTGTGTGCTTAAATGATGTGTTTGATTAATTGTAATTAATTGTAGATTAAATGATTAAATGTTTTGTTTTATTTTATTTTATTTTATTTTATGGTTATGGTTAGTAGTAATGGGCCAACCAATTAGGTTACATGGACTATTTGGATAAGAGGTTTAATGGGTATGGATAATTACCCATAGATAGTTGTTTATGTATATATATAGATATATATGTATATACATATATAAAAGGAAAGTAATTTATTAATTATTTTTATGGTAACTTTAGTATTAATATTTAATCTAATGTATATATTTTATATATTTATATAATAAGGATATATATAGATTTTATATGTATCATGTTTTAAGTTACCTCTTAATATTATGGTAACTTAAGTGTTATTAAATAATTTGTTAATAAATAATCTGATGTATATATTTTATTTATTTAATAAAGATGTACATAGATTATATACGTAACATATCTTAAGTTACCTTTTCAATATTTTAATTTTTATTTTCTTTATTACGTTGACTTGGATTGGGAAAATGAATAGGGTTATTATTTAGCCTACAAATATACAACTATAGGTTGTAAAAGGGGGTTAAAAATATATCACGTAATATATTCTAGAGAGAGAGTTAGAAAGAGTTAGAGGAAGAGAAAGGAAGGAGGAGAAGAATCTTTAGAGAAGAAGATCAAAGAAGAAGAAGTTTAACTTTCGATCCGAAAGTTTAAGGCAAGTTTTTCTTCTATCTCTCTCCCTTTGATTTGTGTTTCCATACATGCCTAGAAGATTCCAGGATTCTTAAACACATAAAACTACATAATTATGCATGTTTAATTGGATTAGAACATAGGTTTTATGAATGTGTTTCATATTTGTTCTTGTTTTATGAATTGTTAAATTCATGCATTTGATTTGATTCCTTTATGAATTTTTACATGTTTAAATGATATATTTTCATGTCTGTGGATTGATAGAACCTAGAAACATGTCTTAGAATATTTAAATAGTAAAGAATAAATTCACAATAGGGTTTCTGGTTTGTTTCGTGTAATAGTGCTCGATCCGCTGTTACAGTGCTCGAGCCTTGGAGGCAAAACTCGAGCCATGGATGTAAAGCTCGAGCCTGAAATGAAAAGCTCGAGCAATTAGGTGAAAAGCTCGAGCTTGAAGCAGGAAACTCGAGCCTGAAATAGGAAGCTCGAGCAATTAGGATAAAAGCTCGAGCCTTACCTGAGGAAGTTTCGTAAACAGCGTTAAATTAATTTTTAATTGATTTGGAGGGGTCCTAATCATTAAATAAGGAATATGTATGAGTTTAAACAAATTCAAAACAGACTGAAATATAACAATGCATGCTATTTGAATTCTTTGAGAAAGGAATAGATTTAATCTTTATTTTGTTCTAGCAATTAGGATTAAATGTGTAGCATGAATTGTATATGGAAAATCCTTATTTGGCTGTAAAATAAATATCAGCATATTTAAGATTCAGTTTGTGTAGGATACAGGATGTAAGAAGCTTAAAGAGGTTTATTAAGTTTTCCTATTTTGTGATAGCATGATATTTTATTATTATGTTAATTGTTGGATTAATTGATGTAGTATTTTATTTGTTGCATCGATTATTGGATTGTGTGAATGTAGTGCACCAGTATGGGATGGTGGCACTTTAGGGACGGATTAACTTATCAGTTAAGTCCTACCTATTTTGTATAAGGGAATGGATTAACTAAACTGTTAAGTCCTACTTATATTCAAGTCAGGTCAGCTGAACAAGTTGAATGACTTATAGATGATTACTTTATACCGGATAGGATGATTACTGGATTATATATATATAATTATGGTGTCATGATATGAGCTTGAGTCTCAGGATCAGTGGTTAGGGCGCGTATATCGCCAGGGATGTGTAGCTAGATATAGTGTAGTTGTGCGCCCTAGTATGTTTAGGTACTCATGCCCACTATATGTGCGTTTTGCATATTGCCTACTATTTAGGTTGAGGTAACTCTATAGTCTAGTGAGTTTCCTTTAGCGCGTGTGTGTATATATACACGGACTATTAGTTGTTATTGGATTGACTAGGATGTATACGTGCATTGTATCTCTACTTGGACTATAGTAGAGTAAAACTTGTTTGTGGACCTGACCCACCATTATTTTTCACGTGTTCTTCAGGTGTAGAGGATTGTTCGTGTTGAGCAGGTATCAATCTGCTTCACTCTTCCGAGTCTACTTAGGAGATTCGTTTATGTTTCATCTTTTAGATGTAAACAGTCATTATGGTTACTTATTCAATTGTAATTTTCTAGGGGTCCACACAGTATAGATTCCCGAGTTGTATTGGAAGATTTGTTGTATCAGAATATTTTATTATTTAATGAAAATTTATACTGAGAATTTATTGGATTAACATTTTAGTGTTCATTCAGCATTTTTATTTATTCTTATTTATCATCTTATATACTGCGTTCGATTATTACCGATTTGTTTTTGATATCCCCGAGTATTTGGGCGTGGGCCTGGCCAACCCATATTCGAAAATTCGAGGGTGTCACACAGCTCTCCCTACCATACATAATTGATATGTCACAATCAGCCTTCATTAATGGGAGAAATATTACAGACCCCATACTCCTAGCTCATGAGCTATTAAATGGGTACCACATTGAATCTTCCACTGCCAAGAGTGCTATCAAGATTGATCTAAAGAAAGCATTTGATTTAGTCAAATGGGATTTTATCCTAAGCTGTCTCAAACTCCTTAACTTCCCAACCAAGTTTATTTCACTGTTATAGGCTTGCTTCTCTTCACCCTCTTTCACCATTGCTCTTAATGGAGAATTCCAAGGGTTTTTCAAAGGGAAGAGGGGATTGCGACAAGGTGACCCTATCTCACCTTTCCTATTTGTTATTGTTATGGATGTACTGTCATCCATCATCAATGATTATGTAAAGAGAGCTCATACCTTCAAATTCTATTGGAAATGTGGTGCATTGAAGATCACACACCTCTCCTATGCAGATGATATCATTCTGTTTTGTCATGGAGACTTCACCTCAGTCTCAGTGTTGAAATCTACCCTTAATCACTTCTGCTGTATGTCAGGTTTGGACATCAATCTCTCTAAAAACAATGTTTATTTCTCTGGAACTGACCCACACACTGAAGCTACAATCATAGCCATGCTTGGCATTGGGATTGGATCCCTTCTAGTCAAATACTTAGGTGTTCCATTCATATCCACCAACCTAAAATTAGCCCACTGCAGCATACTTATTGAAAAGATCACAAATATAATCTCACACTGGTTTTCAAGGTCACTCTTTTATGTAGGCAGACTCCAACTTATCAGAGCTGTATTGGTCTCAACACAAGTGTACTGGGCAAACATCTTCATTCTCCCCAAAACAGTGATCAATGAACTTAACAAAATTTTCAGGTCATTCCTCTGGTCAGGTCCTGAAATGAAATCCACTGGTACAAAAGTGACATGGAGTAAAGTTTGCTTACCAAATGAGGAAAGGGGTCTTGACATTCTAAACTTGAAACTGTCAAACAAGGCTAGAATCCTAAGCTATATTTGGGATCTTCACTCAAACAACCATGGCAGAATTTGGATCACTTGGTGTAAGGTTTACCTTATCAAGTCAAGGAATTTTTGGAGAATCAACTTCCCACAACCTTGCTCTTGGAGTTGGAGGAAGATTTTGCAACTCAGGCACATTGTTAGACAGCTTCTCAAACACAGGATTGACAATGGCTCAGAGACCTCATTTTGGTTTGACAACTGGTCCTCAGGTGGCCCTCTTTGTAGTCGTTTTTCATTAACAATTCTTACTAATGCAGGTTTCAATGAATCAATCACAGTTGACACTTTCATACAAAACTCATCTTGGTCATTTCCTACATGCCTTTCCTTTGCCATTCCTGAGTTACTACTTCAGCCCCCACCATGTTCTTCAAGAAGTGATAGCAAGATTTGGTTGGCATCACCAAATGGCAAGTTCAGTTTCAAGCACATAACATTGTACTTTACAGAGAACTCTCAACTAGTCCATTGGCACAACTTAGTTTGGATTTCACCTACAATCCCTAGGATAAAATTCAACCTATGGTTAGCAGCACAATCCAGGTTACCCACTCTTGATAGCAGATCAATGTCCAACCACAACAACCTTTGTGCTCTATGTCAATCACACACAGAATCACATCAGCATTTGTTCCTTACCTGTTGTTTTGTATCTCCTATCTGGCGATTCATCAAACTCAAATGTAACTTCTTCATTGCAATCACTAACTGGGAGGATCTTATACAACTGATTTCTGCGCAATGGAAAAGGAACTCCCCAGCAAATCTACATTGCAAATTATGCTTCTCATCCATGGTTTATCACACTTGGGAAGAAAAGAAATGAAAGAATTTTCAAAGGGAAAAGCCCATCTCAAAGAATGATGTTTGCTCGAATCACTGCAACTCTCAAATTGGGGTTCTTACGCGACTGCTCCTATTCGAGGAAGATTCTCTCAGATTGGAATCTCTCTCCTGCTTGCTGCTGTCCTCTGCCTAGGCAGCCGGACTGATAATTTCACTAATCATCTTCTCTAGGGCTACTTATCGGACTGCTTATTAACACCCACAATTAACGGCTAAACAAGGCGTTAATTGCAGTTATTAGGTTGAAAATTGGTCCTGGGCCTTTCCCTTGTTGGACCTTATTTGGACTTTATTTTCCTTCCTTTGGATTGTTTTTGGCCCATCGGCCCACTCATGTAATTATATTTTTTTTAATTTAAAAATTTGCTTAAAATTCAAAAAAAAAAAAGAAAAAGAAAAAATAAGTCACGTGTGACATAGTTGAGAAAGTGAAAGAGCGTGGAAGTTATGAAATTGAAGAATTCATTTATTCAATACTCACTGATTGATGTTAGGTTCTCCTCAGTTTCATTCCTAACCACTCAAACTTCACAGGAACTCGTCACTGCATAATCCTCTCTTCTCTTCTTTTCTCACACATGTAAAATGGATACAGAGAACAACATTTCATCTCCCACCTCTCCACCTGCTGGAGGATGGGATTATGAAGTTTTCGTGAGTTTCAGGGGTCCAGACACCCGTGAAAACTTCACTGACAACCTCTACAACGGCCTTGTGGACGCTGGAATTCACACTTTTCGAGACAACGAGGAGCTTCAGGCTGGAGAGAAGATAGATGAGCTTCTCAAGGCAATACAGCACTCCAAGATATCCATCCCCGTCTTTTCCAAAGACTATGCTTCAAGTCGCTGGTGCCTGATTGAGATCGCCGAGACGGTTGAGTGTCGGAGGAAATTCGGGCAATTGATATTACCCATTTTCTTTGATGTCAAAACGTCCGATGTGCGATACCAGCAGGGGAGTTACGAAAAGGCCTTCCAGAAACACGAGAAGGACAATTATTATAATAGTCCTACTCGGGAGGGATGGAAGAAAGCCTTGACGGAGGTTGGACAATTGAAGGGATGGAAGGTGAAGAATGATAATAGGTAATTGAGTATACTTATTAATTTTATTTATAGATACTTAATTAATTTGTTTAGATTTAAAATATTTTTATTTTTTTGGTGTTTGGTTATAGTAAAATATTTAGGAAGAAAAAAAAAAAAAATTACAATCTAACAAAAATAATAAGTTATTTTACAGGAACCTGCACTGATACCTTTGCACAATACCTAATAAAAAAAAAATATATATATATATTTTATCTGGAAAAATAATATTTTACACCAAACCAACTATGAACTTGTTTTGTTCAGTTCTCACAAATTAGACACTTGTTTAACTTAGTTTACAAATAATAGTTTTTTCACAAATTGTTAATCAAATGAATTTTGAAGCTATTTTCTATTTTCTATTTTTTTTTTCAGTTTTCAGAGAATAGACAACTACTGTTGAAAATTTAAATCAAGTAGGGGGGATCTATATTTGTGGGTTTTTCCTTATATATATATATTTAACATTAATTATATGTTTGGCAGGCCTGAAGGAGAAGTGATAAAGGAGGTTGTTTCAAAGGTATGGAGAGAGCTGAAAAAAAATTACTCATTGGTTGTAAGTGAATGCTTAGTTGGAATTGATGATCATGAAGAACAAATGATGAAATTGTTGAGTGTTAATTCCGATGATGTAAGGATTGTGGGAATCCATGGCATGGGAGGAATCGGCAAAACCACTGTAGCCAAGGCCATCTACAACAAACTCTCCCGACAATTTCAATCCCGTTGCTTCCTTGAAGATGTTAGAAAAACAGCACAACAACCCAATGGTCTTGTTCATTTGCAAAACCAACTTATACCTAGCTTCTTAAAACAGGGACGTCCTGTCTTAATTGAGTCTATGGATGAAGGAATTTTTGCAATCAAACGTAGATTTTCTGGAAAGAAAGTTCTTCTTGTTGTTGATGATGTTGATCACAAAGATCATCTTCATGCATTTGCACTTTTGGGAAAGTGTGATTGGTTTTGTTCAGGAAGTAGGATAATTATCACAACTAGAAACCAAGAGATTCTAAAACTGGCTGAGGTCAATTCGACTTATGAACCAAAGGAATTGGATTCTAATCAATCTCTTCAACTTTTCAGCAGGAATGGTTTCAGAAGAGACTATCCCCCAGAAGACTATGATACTCTATCTAGAGATGTTGTGTCCACTACTGGAGGGTTGCCTTTGGCTCTTGAGCTTATTGGTTCTTCTTTGTCTGGCAAGGGAAAAGAGGTATGGGAAGGTATATTAAAGAAGTTGAAAAGAATTCCAAATATTGAAGTGCAGCAGAAGCTGAGAATAAGTTACGAAGCATTAGAATATGAACAAAAACAAATATTTCTCGATATTGCATGTCTTTTCATTGGAGTGGATAAAAGAATTGCTTTCCACATGTGGGATGCCTGCGATTTTTATCCAGAAAATGGGATTGAAGTTCTTCTTTTCATGTCCTTGGTGAAAATTGGAGACAACAATGAGCTAAGGATGCACGATCAGCTTAGAGACCTTGGCAGGGATATTGTCCGTCAAGAAAATTTCAAGAAGCCGGGGGAGCATAGTAGGGTGTGGTTGCATAATGAAGCGTATGACATATTGAAGACACATACAGTAAGATCCAACTTCTTCATGAATAGGTATCCCTAATTAAGCATTAATTTTCTTGTCACCTTACTAACTCAGTTATGTATGAACTACTCGAAAGTTGACATAATAACTGGAATTTCCTCAGAGTGAAAGCTTCATTAATATCAGTTATGTATATTTTTTTTATTGATGTAAAGGTTCTCTTTCGGCAGGGAACAAGAAATAGATGTTCTTTATTAAGAATTAATTTTTTCTCACCTTGCTAACGCAATTATGTATGAACTCTGAAGCAGAACTGGCATTTAACTTTATATAAAAATCCTCCATTTAGGAAAAGAAAAAAAAAATTATGTATGAACTCGAAAGCAGTGCCAGCTCAATCACTAGGCCAATTTGGCGATTGTCTTAAGGGCCTCCAATAAAAAAATCTCATTATAGTCTTTTTAAAGTAGGCCCCACTATAGGTTTGCCAATTTTAGCAGTTCTAATGTTAAGATTCTCTAGCAATTTCTCCTTCTCTCACACTTTTTCTAGTTTCTTCATTTATATCTATCAAACTCATGCCTTTCCACATTCTTCTAAACTTCTTCTCATGTGTTTCTTCATGTGATTAAGCATATTAGATAATTATCTTTATCTTTTATAGGTGAGAATTTTGCATTCTAATATTAATAAATTTGCTTGAAGTTAAAAAAAAAATAAAAAAATAAATAAAGATGAGAAATTTGTAAGAAATTCAAACACTTGAAATCAGGTAAGATTTTTTACTAATTTACATAAGGCCGGTTCTATTGTTCTTTAATTCACGTGCTTTATTTTTTTATTTTTTATTTATTTATTTTAACTATAGTTTATCTATAAATATTTTTACTTAAAAATGTGAATTTGGATGAGTATAAATTTCGATAAAGAAAGGTTTGGGTAAATTAATTCCATTTAAAAAAAAATTTAAGAGCTCTTGTAATGATACAAAGGGATTTAAATGAAACTTTAGTAAATAAACAACCAAATTTTCTATCAAAATTAGTAATTTTGCATCTCAAGTAGCAAGAATAATAATAGTTTATAAATATATATATATAATTTTTAATATAGATAGTAAATTAATATTAGTTATGTTACTACATGAATCTCTCATATTGAGCCGCCACTGCTCAAAAGTTGAAATAATAACTGGAATTTTCTCAAAGAGAGTGAATATCATCATTTAATACTGTTAGGAATTATGTCTCAAATTCCCATTATTATTAATTTCTATTTTAGAGTGTAATTTTATGGTAATTTCTTATAGAGACGTGAATTGGGCTCTAAGAAATTGTAATCCTTGTCCACAAAGGAGTTGAGTATGTGACTCTATAAATAGACACTTAGGTTATTGTTGAGAGTTATGAGTTGAGAGAGATGTAGGCTCATGAGGGAGTACGTTGATGGTAGGGGTGAGTTACGAGTTTGGTAGAGTGAACACTGATGGTGAGAGGGAGTCTTGTGGCGTACACGGAAAACTCGGTCAAGAGTTTGTGTGCATGGTCCAGTGTTGAAATTCTCTACTATTGTAATATCTCTACATATATAATAAATCTCTTCTCATCCGTGGATGTAACTCTGATTTTGGGTGAACCACGTATATATCTTGTGTTGTGGTTTGAATTGTTATTTTTCTTTTCTTTTTTCTTTTGCTTCCGCTGTGCCCCAACAACTGGTATCAGAGCCAAAGGTGAAGGAGATCCGGAAAACACAAGAAGTCTCAACATGTGCTACAACGGGCTTCAGTTGTAGGTGAAGTCAATCGGCTTGATTACATGGCATGGAGCTTGAGAAGTCAAGGTGGAGCCTTGGGGTTTGACTGATTGAGCAACGTATAGTGAGGGGATAATCCGAGTTCTGCAATAAGATCGCGAAGATTGAAGTTGCAGAGAATTGTCCAGATTCAATTGCCATAAGAAGCGATGATTGACGTAATGGAATTTGAGCCAAGGTGGAGATTGTTAGGAATTATGTCTCAAACTCCTATTATTATTAATTTCTATTTTAGAGTGTAATTTTATGATACTTTCTTATAGAGACGTGAATTGGGCTCTAAGAAATTGTAATCCTTGTCCACAAAGGAATTGGGTATGTGACTCTATAAATAGACACTTAGGTTATTATTAAGAGTTATGAGTTGAGAGAGATGTAGGCTCATGAGGGAGTACGTTGATGGTAGGGGTGAGTTACGGGTTTGGTAGAGTGAAAACTGATGGTGAGAGGGAGTCTCGTGGCGTACACGGAAAACTTGGTCAAGAGTTTGTGTGCATGGTCCAGTGTTAAAATTCTCTACTATTGTAATATCTCTACATATATAATAAATCTCTTCTCATCCGTGGATGTAACCCTGATTTTGAGTGGACCACGTATATATCTTGTGTTGTGGTTTGAATTGTTGTTTTTTCTTTCTTTCTTTTGCTTCCGCTGTGCCCCAACAAATACTAGTATATATTATTTATACTCATGTAAAGGTTCTCTTTTGGCAGGGAACAAGAAAGGTTGAAGCTATCTGTGTTAACTTTGAATTAGAGCCACAGGCGAAAGCTCTTACAAAAAAAGATTTCGCAAACCTATCTAATCTAAGGTTCCTTCAAGTTGGCAATGCAGAGCTGGATGGAGATTTTACGCAACTTCTTTCAAACTTAAGATGGCTTCGCTGGAACGGATGCCCTCAAATTTTTAGACCGACTACCACTTTTTGTCTAAAGAATCTGGTCATTCTTGATTTATCACGGAGCAATATCACAGCAGCCTGGGAGGGTTGGAATCATATCAAGGAGGTTTAATCAATTTCTCTGCTTTTGTTTCGTGTGTCTCATCACATAATTGTTTGTAATTTATTATAAGCAATTCTCTTTTTCCTTATTTTGCAGTTTACAACAAAGTTGAAAGTTCTAAATCTCACATGTTGCAAAAACATGGTTAGCACTCCTGACTTCTCTGCATATGCAAATTTAGAGAGATTGATTCTTGAAGACTGTGAGAATTTGGATCATATTGATCCATCAATTGGGAAACTTAACAGTCTAGTTTTCTTAAATGTGAAGAATTGTGCTAAACTCAACAGGCTGCCTCTGGAATTTGATTCTGTGGTAACAGAGCTCCTTATTGATGGCACTTCCATACAAGAAATCCCTATTGGTAGAGGTGTTATGAAGAAGCTTGAAACTCTTAGTGCCAATGGGTGCGAATCATTGACTCAAATTTCTACCTCAATAGGTCACCTAAAATCTCTTTCAGACCTTACATTAGATGATTCGTGTATCACTGAACTACCAGACTCAATTGGTTCACTAGTGAAATTGCGACGGTTATCACTAAGGAGCTGCAAATTAAAAGAACTTCCAGACTCCATTGGCAACCTAAAATGTTTGAGGATTTTGAACATTGATTGTTCTTCAATAGTGAAGTTACCTGGTGCCATCGGAATGTTACTGAAACTTGAAGAATTACATGCCTCAAGTTGTTACGATTTGGAAGGCGAAATTCCCAGTAATTTTGAGAGATTATCCTCTCTGAGAATCTTAAGACTAAATTGGACAAATATCTGTAGCCTTCCAAAAAGCATTTGTGGGCTCTCTCGCCTCCAAACCCTTGATTTACTGGGTTGCAGAGAGCTTCAATTTCTGCCAGAGCTTCCCTCTAGTCTAGTGAGTCTACGAGTTACTTGCATGTTAATGGAGACATTTCTAAACCTTCCTAGCCTGATGAACCTAAAGGAGTTGTGCTTTTCTAACTGCTTTAAGCTGTTGAAAATTCCCGCAGATATTGGGAAGTTAGCCAAACTCGAGACCTTGACCTTGTACAAGATTAACATTAGCAGCCTGCCAATGGAGCTTGGTGGTCTTTCTCGGCTCAAGGTACTCAATGTGTTACATTGTGAACAACTTCAATGCCTTCCACTTCTTCCCTCAAGTCTAATCATACTCCGTCTTCGATTTTGCAAGTCAATGAAAAGGTTTCCAGATCTGCCAAATTCAAAAAATTTATCAGAACTAATACTTGACCAATGCTCAGAGTTAACGGAGATTCAAGGCCTTGGAAGATTAGAACTCCTAATGAAATTGGATATCTATAGGTGCAGAAAGCTATGTATGCTTGAAGGGCTTGAACAACTAAGATCTTTAAAATACTTGACCACATCATTGTGTGAATCACTAGAAACATTACCAGATCTTTCGAATTTAAAGAAGTTAAGGAAATTAAATACTTTGTATTGCAAGAATATGAATGAAATTAGGGGCCTCGACAGATTGGAATCCTTGGAATATTTGGATATGAGTTGGTGTGAATCCTTGGAAAGATTGCCAGATCTATCGAACTTGGAAATGATGAAAGAATTGAAGCTCCACCAGTGCCATAAGCTATATGAGTTGGAGGGTCTTAAGGGTTTGAAATCCTTGAAGATGCTGGACTTGTCATATTGCACAGCCTTTGAGAGTTTACCTGATCTATCAAACTGGGAAATGCTGGAAGAATTAAAGCTCCACCAGTGCCAGGAGCTACATGAGATTGTGGGTCTTAAGGGTTTGAAATCCTTGAAAATACTGGACTTGTCATATTGCACAGCCTTGGAGAGTTTACCAGATCTATCGAACTCGGAAATGCTGGAAGAATTAAAGCTCTACCAGTGCCAGAAGCTACATGAGATTGAGTGTTTGAAGGGTTTGAAATCCTTAAAGATGCTGGACTTGTCATATTGTACATCCTTGGAGAGGTTACCTGATCTATCGAACTCGGAAATGCTGGAAGAATTAAAGCTCTACCAGTGCCAGAAGCTACATGAGATTGAGGGTCTTGAGGCTTTGAAATCCTTGAAGACGCTGGACTTGTCATCCTGCATACACTTGGAAAGATGGCATGATCTATCAAACTTGGAAATGCTAGAAATTTTAAAGCTCGCCAAGTGTCAGAAGCTACATGAGATTAAGGGTCTTGAGGCTTTGAAATCCTTGAAGATGCTGGACTTGTCATCTTGCACAGCCTTGGAGAGGATACCTGATCTATCAAACTTGGGAACGCTGGAAAAATTAAAGCTCTACTCGTGCCAAAAGCTACATGAGATTGAGGGTCTTAAGGGATTGAAATCCTTAAAGATGCTGGACTTGTCATATTGTACAGCTTTGGAGAGGTTACCTGATCTATCGAACTGTGGAATGCTGGAAGAATTAAAGCTCTACCGTTGCCAGAAGCTACATGAGATTGAGGGACTTGAGGCTTTGAAATCCTTGAAGATGCTGGACATGTCATCGTGCATATGCTTGGAAAGATGGCCTGATCTATCAAATTTGGCATTTCTGGAACAATTGAAGCTTGCCGAGTGCCATAAGCTACATGAGATTGAGGGTCTTGAGGCTTTGAAATCCTTGAAGATGCTGGACTTGTCATCGTGCACAGCCTTGGAGAGGATACCCGATCTATCAAACTTGGGAATGCTGGAAAAATTAAAGCTCTACTGGTGCCAGAAGCTACATGAGATTGAGGGTATTAAGGGATTGAAATCCTTGAAGATGCTGGACTTGTCATCGTGCATACGCTTGGAAAGATGGCCAAATCTATCAAACTTGGAAATGCTGGAACAATTGAAGCTCGCTGAGTGCCAGAAGCTACATGAGATTGAGGGTCTTGAGGCTTTGAAATCCTTGAAGATGCTGGACTTGTCATCGTGCACAGCCTTGGAGAGGATACCTGATCTATCGAACTTGGGAGTGCTGGAAAAATTAAAGCTCTGCTGGTGCCAGGAGCTTCATGAGATTGAGGGTCTTAAAGGTTTGAAATCCTTGAAGATGCTGGACTTGTCGTATTGCACAGCCTTGGAGAAGTTACCTGATCTATTGAACTTGGGAATGCTCGAAGAATTATGGCTCTACCGGTGCCGAAAGCTACATGGGATTGAGGGTCTTAAGGGTTTGAAATCCTTGAAGATGCTGGACTTGTCATATTGCACGGCCTTGGAGAAGTTGCCTGATCTATCGAACTCGGAAATGCTGGAAGAATTAAAGCTCTACCGGTGCCACAAGGTACGTGAGATTGATGGTCTTAAGGGTTTGAAATCCTTGAAGATGCTGGACTTCTCATTTTGCACGGCCTTGGAGAGGTTACCTGATCTATCGAACTCGGAAATGCTGGAAGAATTAAAGCTCTACCGGTGCGAGAAGCTGCATGAAATCGAGGGACCTGAGGTTTTGAAATCCTTGAAGATGCTGGACTTGTCATATTGCATATCCTTGGAGAGGTTACCTGATTTATCGAACTTAGAAATGCTGGAAGAATTATGTCTCTACCGGTGCGAGAAGCTACATGAGATTGAGGGTCTTGATGGTTTGAAATCCTTGAAGATGCTGGACTTGTCATTTTGCACGGCCTTGGAGAGGTTACCCGATCTACCGAACTCGGAAATGCTGGAAGAATTAAAGCTCTTCCGGTGCCAAAAGGTATGTGAGATTGATGGTCTTAAGGGTTTGAAATCCTTGAAGATGCTGGACTTGTCATATTGCACGGCCTTGGAGAAGTTACCTGATCTATCGAACTCAGAAATGCTGGAAGAATTAAAGCTGTACCGGTGCCACAAGGTATGTGAGATTGATGGTCTTAAGGGTTTGAAATCCTTGAAGATGCTGGACTTCTCATTTTGCACGGCCTTGGAGAGGTTACCTGATCTATCGAACTCGGAAATGCTGGAAGAATTAAAGCTCTACCGGTGTGAGAAGCTGCATGAAATCGAGGGACCTGAGGTTTTGAAATCCTTGAAGATGCTGGACTTGTCATTTTGCACGGCCTTGGAGAGGTTACCCGATCTATCGAACTCGGGAATGCTGGAAGAATTATGGCTCTACCGGTGCCAGAAGCTACATGAGATTGAGGGTCTTGATGGTTTGAAATCCTTGAAGATGCTGGACTTGTCATTTTGCACGGCCTTGGAGAGGTTACCCGATCTATCGAACTCGGGAATGCTGGAAGAATTATGGCTCTTCCGGTGCCAGAAGGTATGTGAGATTGAGGGTCTTAAGGGTTTGAAATCCTTGAAGATGCTGGACTTGTCATATTGCACGGCCTTGGAGAAGTTACCTGATCTATCGAACTCGGAAATGCTGGAAGAATTAAAGCTCTACCGGTGCCACAAGGTATGTGAGATTGATGGTCTTAAGGGTTTGAAATCCTTGAAGATGCTAGACTTCTCACTTTGCCCGGCCTTGGAGAGGTTACCTGATCTATCGAACTCGGAAATGCTGGAAGAATTAAAGCTCTACCGGTGCGAGAAGCTACGTGAGATTGATGGTCTTAAGGGTTTGAAATCCTTGAAGATGCTGGACTTCTCATATTGCACGGCCTTGGAGAGGTTACCTGATTTATCGAACTCGGAAATGCTGGAAGAATTAAAGTTCTACAAGTGCTACAAGCTACACGTGATTGAATGCCTCAAGGGTTTGAAATCCTTGAAGATGTTGCTGTTGTCATATTGCACAGCCTTGGGAAGGTTACCTGATCTATCGAACTTGGAAATGCTGAAAAAATTAAAACTCTACGGGTGCCAGAAGCTACATGAGATTGAGGGTCTTAAGGGTTTGAAATCCTTGGAATATTTGAATATGAGATGGTGCATGTCCTTGGAAAGATTACCTGATCTATCGAACTTGAAAATGCTGAAAATATTAAAGCTCACCCACTGCCAGAAGCTACTTGAGATTAAGGGACTTGAGGCTTTGAAATCCTTGAAGATGCTGGACTTGGATTCGTGCACCACCTTGGAGAGGATACCTCATCTGTCGAGTCTAACAAATTTAGAGGAATTGGGACTTCGTAACTGTGAGAAACTTAGTGAGATTTGGGGACTTGAAGAACTGACATTCTTAAAATTCTTGGACATTTCTGGATGCAAGTCACTAGGAAATGTACCAGACATTTCGAACATCAGAAAAGTCAAGCGTTGAGAGCAAAATTGCAGGATGCCAGATTTAGTGTCTACCATACAACCTGATGGCATGGTAATTATCTATTTCTGCTAATCTATGTTGTCTTTGCATATGATGGTTGTTTCCTTGACTGATTGTTAATTGTCATTTCTTTCTCTGTTCCTTTTTCAGGTAATTGATGAAATATCCATGCATTTCAGTTACCAATTATCATTGCAGAACTATATTGAACAGTGGTATTTTGGCAGTTGAAATTACAGTTGTTTTGGTGTTGATCCCTATATCATGGTTGATTAGGATCATGGTAGTCATGTTGTTTTCATCATATGTACATTCTTGATCATTCTTCATGTGTTGGTAAGGCTGCGTACATCTGATCCTCCCCCGCAATGCCAGGGGCCTCGTGCACTGTCAAGAGCTTTGGCTTCTGTCATAGCTACCGCAATATTCAACTACCAGAAACCTTGTTTTGCAGAATCTGAAGCTGCTGAGAGTCAAAACTACTGCAGATGCATGCTACATTGTTGCTTATGAACCAGATCTTGGTTTGACCAAGTTCCAATCAACATTACACGTCTATTTAAGCCACAACCAAGCAAGGAACAAGGCTGCAATAATTTCCGACTACCTGAAGCCTTGGTCTGCAGAGTAAAAGCTGCTGTGAGTTCTATTTTCTGCACATTCATTCTCAGTAAGCTTTTCTCCAGTTTTTGAGCTAGTTCTTGGTGTAAGCAAGATTTGATTGTTGTTGCCTATTCATTCAAATCACTACCAAGCTAAAACTGAGGCTGCATCAAAAGTTTACTATCTGAAACCTCAAGCTGCAGATTCAGCAGATGCTGACAGATTTTGCTGCTACTCAAGTTCTTTGTGCTACATTCTCACTTCCGAGTGCTTGAGACTTATATATACTTCTTGTTGAGTAATTTCTGGTGTAGTTGTGCATGAGTGTCCAAGCATTGTGGTGAGGCAAGTGCAAGGAACAGAGGGAGGGAAAGAACTGTGGTGGTGAGTGCTGTGACTGAGATTGTGGATGTGTGATGTAATCAAATTCATTCATAGTGGAGTTTTTTACTAGGCTTGACAGACCTGAGGATGTTTCCCCTATTTCTTAGGGGTTTTACCATGTAAATCTTGGTGTTCTGCATTCTTGTTTAGCAGCATTTTTCATTTTGTGCATACTCAGTTCATAGCTCTAAAAACAGTCTGCTATATTGCACACACTAGACCTCTTAGTCCCAAACTCTCATTCTAGCTTAAGTTTGAAGTTTTTTAAATTCCTATCGATAAACCAATTCACCCCTCCCCTCTTGGTTTATCATGCTTTTGCCTGTTTCAGATTATTTTTTCTTGAAAGAAACAGTAGAATGATTCAAGATTTTGAAACTTATTTGGAGGTGTGGGATAATCCATTATAATACTTGCCTCAGCTTTCAGTTTTAAAGGCTTTGTTAAGGTCCCCATATCTTCCATCATATGAGATTAAGAAACCATAAGCATCGTCAGACATTAGATAATTCTGTAACTTAACTATGGAAACTGCGTTTTAGTGGCATTATCAAGTTTTAACTTTGACATTCTTTCCGTCCTGGTCAATTGGGCATTTGATGGCAATTTAGGGATGTCGTCGTGACATTAGTATTCATTGCCTTTTGGGATATGGTAATGCCATCAATGTAGAAATTATGGCAATAGGTCTTAAAGGATCTAGAAGTAAAGGTCAGAGTAAAATTAATGTGGAGGGTGAGATGACTGGATTTTTGTTAATGGGGTTAGATTAGATCTCAAGGCTCATGGAATTACTTAAATATGCTTCATAAGGTCTTGGATATCAGTTAGACCATAATGTTTTTAATTTCTTGAGTTTCTAATTTAGCCAATCAGAAGGTAGGTTCTTTTTTTTTTTTCCTAGTTGATAAGAAGGTAGGTGTTTTAGTGAAGCATCCAGTGATTATTCTTGAAGGGTTTAGGAACTTTGTCTCTTCTTAGTTTCCTCTCTCTCTCTCTCTGAATGTTTTCTGTGCCTTTCTTTCTTCTTCTTCAATTTTTTCCCCCTTGAAAAAGGACTTATCGTCCTTCCTGGTCTATTTGCATGATTAGCTATGATTTCTTTCTTGTACCAAAAAAAAAAAAAAATGGTCTGTTAATACTAAATTCTACAAAGGGCCACTGGTATACTACCTGAATTACTACTCAAAAGCTTGTTTGATTTGTGATGTGATGGATGATTAGCATTCTTATAATTAAGACATGAGTAACATTTCACATGTTTTAGACTTATAGTCTGTATTCTGTCATACACATTGCTTAACTTATAGTTGTCATTTTTTTCTCATGCATATAGTGGTTGGCACTAGTTTAACTTCAAACTCATTTCTCATGCATGCACCTCACCAACTGTTTAAGGAAGCCATCACAACAGCACTTTTTTTATTTCATTATTTATTTATTTTTTTCCCAAATTGTTATTAATGTTGAGTTTTTTGCATTTAAAGCAGGAAGACAGCCTATAGGTTGGAGTTTTTGTTGTAACTGAGCCAATCCATTCAATTTAGCAAGAAGACAGTAATCTATTCTATTCTTGCTCCACTTTCTCTCCAGCCACCATTAGCCCTAATTTTATGAGGAAAACAATACTGTTAGTTTTTTTTTATAGGCAGCATCTTCTTCAGTCTGGAGCATGTTATAGAAGTATCATTTGACAGCTTCTGTGGTATCCTTTTTTTCAGCTAGGTAAGTAGTACTCGTGCACACATTTCATCTACGGCATCCTTTTCACGATGCCTTTTGTGGATCTCTTCTCCCTTACGGGCCCTCCTCTGTCCTTCCTATTAATGCACATTGCATGGGTCGTGTTATATATATATAATGGAGTGACATTCTCTTTGTATTCTATTATGTTCGATTTGTTAAGTCCTCTCAAAATTGTACGATATGTTCCTCTTGTTTTTCAAAATTTACTCTTCTATTTCTTAACTGTTTGCTCACTTGCTCTCTTCAGCGGTCTGTTTCAACTGCATTGTGATCAGTACTGGTCCTCTCATATTGAGAATTTTGTTGTGCCATCTATTTTTCCGTTCAACATTGCCATGGTCAAGAAAAATAAATACAATAACTCAATAACATATTAAAGAGTATAAAAACTCACCCCCCTTCCCCCAACGCAAAGAAAAAAAAAAAAACGAAACAATATTGATGATGAATAGAAATCAAAGAAGAAACATTGTATGTTGCCATTTGGATTGAGCACAGCTTCAAGGAAAAAATATCAAAGAAGTTCTCTGAATTCAAATATTATTATATCTCTTTCTAATCAATGCTTTAGCTGACAAAAATTTACTTGTGGGCACCAATGCTTTCCCGTGTGCCTAATATATATGGGCCTGATGCTTTCTGCACAGTAATTTTGTGGTGCTTTTTGATCACAATATCCTTGCATTATAAATCTTTACCTGCTTAAGCTCCTGAACTTCAACTTCAGATTAAACTTTGGTCTCTATGGATTTGGATTTGATATGTAGAACATCATGGATGGGAAGCTTTAAGGAATTCAAACACAAAACATTCAATTGGAGCTGCACAAGGTTTCAAAAGTTCTATTTCAAAGATAGGATTATCGAGCAATAGATTTTGAATTTATTAGTACTGAAGTGAGTTCTTATGGACGTCCTTCAAGAACGGATTTTAGATATTTTCTTATTTGCTTGATATGGCTGTTTTCTTGCTATGACTAAAGGTAAATGATTGAATTGATGAAGTTTTCTCAATTCTTGCTCTTGTTGATCTCCCTCTCTCTCTCTCTCTCTCTCTCTCGTGGTTAGTATATTTAGTTTAATTACAAGTTTACAACTTGCGCTTTCAATCTGATGCTCTTCGTTCCTGGATTCTTGAATTGTGAAGTATGTTTCATTGCAGGGGGGACATTTGCCTTGTTACTTTGTATTAATGAATATTGGAATTTTCTCTTCCAAGTGCATAGCTTCGAGCGCAAGCCTTTCCCATTCTTACTTGTATGAAGGTTCTGAAAATCGAAGTAGGATTGGGATTTTTTTTTAAAAAAGTGTGGTTGCTTTGTATTGCAATGCTAGGCATGTGCATGCTAATTGGTGATGGCACACTTACCCAGCAATATCAGGTTTGTTGTCTTCCAATTTAATGCCACAATTATTGAGACTTATTTTTCTTACAAAAATTTAACTTAATTACAAGCTGTCTTTTCTTTTTGCGTTTTTTTGAAGATATAGTTCATGGCTTTTTTTTATTTTCCTCAAAATTTGTTCAGTTTTGTCAGCTTTGGATGGCATCTGAGCACCTTTTCCTTCCTTCAGTAAATGTAAATGTTGATGCAGACTCTTGTAATTTAGACAAAAATCCAAGTCTATCCAATCCCTAATATGCCATCATGAGACAATGTTCTGGTTTACATAGCATTTGATGACAAGTTGGTGGCCTTCCAACTCAATGAAGCTTAATTTTGACTACTTAGTGTGATGTGGCCCGAATTTGTTTCCGGGTCCCCGATGATTGGGCTTTGTGTGGACCCTATTTAGTACTCTCTTGTAGCCTGGTATATGAGGGCTCGTAGGGTTTGGAGTGGGATTAGAGATAACACTGAAAATCACAGAGAAAGAGAGTGAGAGTGGGAGTGAGAGCTAAGGTTTGGGGGCTAAAAACTTGTAATCTCCTGTTTTTCGCATAGTAAAAAATTTCACGGGATCTCCATCGTGGACATAGACACTTGTGTCAAACCATGTAAATCTTTGTGTCTTTTGTGGTGCTTTTTTGATCGTGTTACGTGATGTTTCTTGGTTCATGGTTGTTTGTCGTAACACTTGGGAAGGAGGAGATCTCTTAATACTTGAAGTTTGTAAAGATGTGTCGGACAGAAAAAGAAAAAAATAAATCAAAGTCCGTCCTAGTAAATGCTATGTATATTTCAAGTGCTACTGAAATGCACTTTACCAATTCAATTTTCAAGATACATCAAAATGTCCTTAATTTGAAAGTTGATACAAGCACGTGGCAACAGATGGAATCAAATCCTGAAAGCAAAGCAGATGGAGTTGAAGATTGTAGTTGCAACTGAAAGTGAAAAAGCTGTGTGAGTGATTTGGCCTTGTGGCTTTGTCCAGGCAGACCAGTCTTTCATTCAAGAATTTGGAATGTTTATGGATTCATTAATATAGAAGTATAGTTTTCATATGATGTTCAGTCTCTCTGTGTTCACAAATTTGCCTGTATTCAGATTGCAGCTTTGGTTGAAACCTTCTCTGCAGTCACTCTTATATTTCTGTTCCTGCTGCAAAAATTTGGCACCGCACGAGTGAGTTTCCTTTTCTCCCCATCATTGGTGCATAACCAATGTATCACTAATTCAGTAATATTATCTTTATAGCCGTAGAGTTATTAGTATGATTTTAACTAAAAAATATTTTCTTTCTTCAGTTTATAACCAATGCACATTATATTAGAGATTTAAAAGCTCTGAAGATAAATTTAGTGGATGTTCTACTATTCACTAAATATATTATGCCAGTTTGTAACAAATTGCATGACCTTGCTCTAAGATTGTTTTGCAACTACATTTTCTGTTCATTGTTTGACCTTTATATATTATCGTTCTGATGCATCTACTAATGATTAAGGTGTGAGCAGGTTTGTTGTTAGTATGGTCATGCTCATAACCTCAATACTGCGGACGCTGGTCATGATCATGATTTGGAGAACTCCACCAATTCTGGTTAACCTTTACTTCTTTGATTTGGAATTTTGCTGTTTTCACCAAAATTCCAGAAGGTGGCTGGATTCCGTTTGTCGTTTCTTTTATCCCTGAATTCATTATGTTTGGATGGTTTTATGGGAGGCAGGGAAAGAGAGAGCATGAGTTAATCCACAAGATAGACTTGGAATGCTGCTGGCTGATCGAATTTTTCGAAGTGTCCCTGGAATTTGTTTTCTATACACCGTCATCCAAGATGGGCTAACACCAATTCTTGGAAATTATATAAAGAACTTGAAATCTCTTCACAAGGTAGCTATTTTCATGACTCTGCGCTACTTGTTGGTTCCAAATTCAACAAACTGGGCCTCAAAGGGGTTTACGGGTGTGTGATTCAGTATGGCTATGCAGATTCTCTTAGTTTTGAAGGAGACGACTTTTTAAGTCAAGTCACTGATAG